GTGTGTGTGTATATGTGTATGTTGCATGTATGATATTAGAGCACTGTAAAGGGAATTTTCTTCAGCGCGCATTTGCACCACTGTTGCAACGCTTCGTTCCACTGGTTGCTGTGGCAGTTGCGAATGCTATCAATATACCACTCACTCGACAAAAGTAATCTCTCTCTCTCTCTCTGTCGCTCTGTGTCGCTTGAATTCTTCATTGCATATTTGCCTGGGAGAAAGTGTTTATAGGCTGTAGACCCGTCTTTGATTAATTGAGCTTTTCACGTTCCGAATGGCGTCGTATTGCTGTGGGTTAAGTCTATTTTCGTGCTGATCATGTCTACATAAAATGATGGCTCTTTCAGATCCTTATCACTCAGTTTTCGCGTTTTCCACAGTGTTTATTTTCAGCGAGCTTCGCAACGGACTAACGGTGACTGATGAGACGGGACGTGCACTCACGAAGTCGAAGGTGATTCCTGAACTGCTCCGCTCTTTTATTTTAACTTAATTTATGGACAGAATCAATGTATATTGTTTGATGCACTCTTTTAGCTTTAAAATATCCCCTTTTCCGCTCGCTGGGCGTGCAGCCGGTGGACTTTTCCTCCCCCAGATAGGCGACAGTGGTTTCTTCCCTTTCCAGTTAGGCGACGCGTAGGTTGTTGATCTTCTCCGTTTCCAGTTGGGCGATGAGTATCCTTGAATGGATGTTTTTTTTTTTCTTGCAGAAACACTTTTAAGTTCCATCTAACTTGCAGCTTGCAGCTTACAAAGCAATAGCATTGGTGGTCATCTCGCGTAATGTTATCGTCGCGCCAAGCATGCGTAAGTATTTATAGCTCAGATTCATTTCATCGTTAATGCATTAAAGATGTGTGCCTTCGTTGTGCGAAACCAACTTCCAGAGTTGCCCAAAATCTAATTTACTACTCAAATATTCATTCACGACGCGGGGAACATGGCAGAGTTGGAGTGCGATGTAATTTAAGCGTTTGATGATCTCGAGAACAAACTGAGCTTTATTTTGTTCGAGTACTTCGTAACGAACATACTGAAAAGGAATGACAATTTGTAGATGAGCATCTGTGATTATCTGGAAGCGAGGGTAGGGGAAGCATTGATAGATCCAAGGGGAAGGCAGTGAGTGTTTTTCTCTTTCCCCTCCCTCTC